GCCACTCCACCACCACGCCCAGTCATCCTCGGCACATTAAGATACTCACAATCATGCGGTAAAAGTTCAGTAAAACAACTGGACTCACCGACTCTCTGCCAAGTTTCCGTTAAAAGCATTAGATCCAGTTCCCGATCGGTAAAAAAGTCCTATGTGTATATGTGTTACTTTTAGCTTGTGTAATTTGGCCTTTCATGTAAACTCTCCTCTCTAGCTGTTTGTCTTTACTGATGGAGAGGTGGGGAACACCAAAGAAGTGATCGATCTGGTGAAGAAGAACTCAGGCTCCCACAGGTGAAACAGCAAAAATGATGACATGTGCTGCGTACCAAACCTGTGTGTCTTAAAAACAGCTGTTGTGTTGCAGGTGTTTCTCTTTTGGGATTGGGGAAGGGGCCAGCTCTGCTCTCATCAATGGGATGGCCAAGGAAGGAGGAGGTCACGCTCAGTTTATCACAGGGACTGACAGGATGCAACCAAAAGTAAGACAATAAGTCATAATAACAATTATTAAAAGGCAATATGTTGTTATTAGAGATGGACCAATCCGATATTACGTATCGGTATTGGTCCGATACCGACCTAAATTACAGGATCGGATATCGGAGAGAAATAAAAAATGTAATCCGATCCGAAGTATCACAAAATCACCTCATAAAACGCGCTACTTGGTGTAACCCAGCTCGGCGCATCGGAGCAGTATGTGTCACGTGATAGAGCGGCTGTTTTTCTGCGAGACCTGTCGGCGGTCTGTTGGAGCCTCGCTACATGCTTCCTAACCGCGGCATTTCTTCTCGGCGAAAACTATCCCAGAGAAGTAAAGCAAGTGTGTAAGTTCATCCCTGAATGTTTGCATAGTATTTTCACGTTAAACTTAACAACTGATATATTGAGCCACAGCTGGACTGGTTCCATATTGAGGTGAAAAGGAAGCGATTTGTCCCGTACTTCAGCCAGAATTAAAAAATAGACACAAAGCTGGAGTTATTCTGTCTTTGTATCTACTTCTCTCATTCACTCCCCCTCCCTCTCCTGTTATTACTTCAAACATGAAACTGATCAATGATCAGCTGATCGGCTTTTCTACCGCAAGTCCCGTCTTTCTTGTTTGTTTATTGCCCACTTTGCGTTAGAAAGAGGAGACCAGTGGATAAACAACAGCAGCTCGTTTAAGCTTGATCAGCTGTTGTTAGAATGTATTTAATATTACTTTCTAGTATCAGCTGATGTTTGCTGGAGCCACAGCTGTAAAAGCTGCTGGTCATGATATCAGTTTGGTTATCTGGTGAGAGGGAAACATGAGGATGAAACCAGGAGATGTCCTTACTGAATCATCAGAGCTGAACAGGTGATGGAGAAACAGGTTTACCTTTTAGGTGACATGAATGAGTTGAAGGGAAGGGAAGGGGGGCACAAAGAAATATTTTTATTTGTTATGTCATTTAAAAACTTTGAATGAATAATTATCTGAATCTTACAACAAAAGTGGTCATCTGAATAAATGTATAGAAATCCATCATTGTATATAGTAACTATTAAGTCTAATATACACCCTAGTAAGCTATACTACTTTTTCTTTGGGAAGGTACCATCTGTGCAGTCTGCAATTCTGTTGAAGAAAGATG